TGGGCAACTGGTGTTTAAAAGAGAAGAGCTGTGTACCCGGCTCTCTTGCAAAAGGGCTCATTTCAAGACTGCCAGGGGAGGAAGTGGGCCAGGGAGAGCTGATTCCGTGCATGCAAACGCAGGAGGAGCAAGAGACACAGATAGCTACCAGGAGCAGGCATTGAACGGCTTTGGTGGAAGGTCACTGACGCAGTCAAAAGCTCCAGCCTGAGGGACCAACATCATCCAATCCTATTTCCCTGTGCAATCCCTTCTGCACACCAGCACGGGAGTCATTTCAGCCTCCATCTAGAACATGCTGATGTATGTGGGCTCTAAAGCTTTTAAAGACGGATGAAAATTTATCAGAGCCACAGGGCTACCTCTCCCAAACGGTTCTCTAGCTACTACAGCGACAATTTGAGTTCAACACTGGAAGGACCTTGCAGCAGTGCCTGGTATGAGCAGCAGCTCTGGAGGGTTCACACAGCCCAAAAGGGGGAACAGGGGAAAAACAAAGCCAAACAAACAAGAATGCACTTGTGAAACCACGTACATGGTTGAAAGTTCCAGTTCATGGACTCAGCACAGAGGGACAAAAGCCACCAAAGGAGAAAGGGGCTATTTCATCACTGCTGCAGAACCTCCATTTCACTGGTCCCTCTCCTTGTAACTGCATTCTTCCCCTAACCTCCGCCTGCGTGTTGTGCCTATCAGATAGTAACCATACAAGGAGACAAAACAGTCTCTTTATGTGATGGGTTTAATGCTTTGCAGGCAAGTAGAGTGTACATAGACACACACGTGCATCAGGAAAGCAGGAGGACTCCTGCACAGAGCTGACAATATGGATGCTGTAATCTCCACCTCGAGCAGACAATTCAGATGGCGGTAATCAGTACAAGAGAACGGGCTGTGAAGGATGCTGCGGTACAGCTGAAGCTCACCAACAGCCATAACTGTAGGTAACTAACAGCGGCGTTCTCACCACAAAGACTCACCCATAAAAGTTACAAGCAATGTGGAAAGTTTATCTATGTTTTTTAGAGTGGCAACTTGCAATGCTGTTCACACCCCGCAGGAACACCGTTACCCCAGAACGGAGGATTCACTTTTAAGGCACACGAGGAGACCGGCAGACAGTTTGGAGCTGCATTAGCAGAAAAGTGAAACGAGAAGTTCATCAAAGAGACGGCACAAAGGTTGCAGACTGACCTCAGCGGTCCACCAAAAATCTAAATCTATGTGGTTAGATATGGAAGAGCAGAGCTGTGCTTTAGACACCTGCATTGGATGTAGACGATAAATGACTCACTGGAAACAAAGATGTCTTAAACTTCCTTTGTACATGCCAAGGAATGTCAGATCTCATCCTGGGAGTCAAACCTTAGCATCAGATTTAAGCAAGACACAAAAGCACGTACAGGACTTGTTCACACATTCTCTCTGCCTGGCTTGGCCCTCCCCTAAGCATGCAGGAAGCATGCCCACAGCTGTACTGAGGCCAGCCAGATCAAAAAGCCCACAAGAGCCTCCTACACCAGCTAGGGACTGCAGGAACACAGCTGCTGGCTAACTCCATGCCCTACTACCCATGACGGGTAGGAAGGTCAGTACAGTGCAGAGTTCTCCGCTACCTACCAAGATGACTTCAGCCCCACGGCTTTTTTTGCTGAATCTTAGCTCCCTGAACAGATTGAAAAGGTGGGGAGTTGCCCTCTGCCTCGCTTCTCAAGATAAAAGCTTTTGGAGGACGCTTGGCAGGGGGTGTCTGTGTGGCAAACCAGGGCTCCTGCCTCACTGCTTTGCACACACTGTCCTACACGGCACGTCCTGATGTCTTGCTGCAGTGGAGTGAGAAGCAACCTGCTTGCTTCGTTTGCCTTTTTTTAAAAGAACTGCAAAATTTTCCTGGAAAAAGTGACATTAAGAGCACCATATTTGCAAAGAAAGGCACTTGACTCAGGAAATGGTAATGTTATAGTCATCTGCATGATCTTAATTCTGCTCCTTTGCTGACACATCTTAGGACCACAACTAGTGGCCTGAGCACATCCCGTATTCCTGCAGGATTATACCTGGTCCTGCACTTGGGGTAGCAGAATAGAAAGGCAACGCTGGGTACTGGCCAGGGAAGTGGGGCATCTTGCTTTATGCAAGCCCAAAAGGCCCGCGGCACTGTGATACCAATCACAGCCATTAGCTCCCTGGCCCTGTCCAATGGTAAAGTCTTCATAGGGCATTTAAACAAACAAGGCAAGTAGCTGCCAGAAGAGGAAGAGCAGTTCTCTCGTTCATGCGGCACTAGACTAGGACTTATGCTCTAGTCTCAGCTTTGTTGAGGCTAAGGGACTTGCCCAAAGTCACACAGGAAATCTCTGTGGCTCAGTTCTGCATCACACAAAGGGTGAGAAAATTTCCTGACCTCTCTGGAGGAGGGTACAAGATGTTCAGGTAGCACAACACCAAAGAAGGGGAGGAAAAAAAAGGCAGGGGAAGTACTTGCTACACGCTAACTTGAGCTCAGTAAGGATAAGCTGCTTCAAAGAGCAAGGCTGGGAAGAGACACCAGTCACCTCCTGTGAGGCGCAGATATTAAAACAGTGACTCTTGCTAAAAATCACTCTAACACATAACATAAATTGTCCTCTCAAAAAACCTTAAAGAGAAAGGAGCAACTGTGCTAAACAGCCACATCCATTGCCCAGCAACAGCCTTCTGCTTTGTCCCACCCCTACAGCCACACAAAAACCTGAAGACTTTTGGTTGCATTTCCCATGGGCCTCACAGGATCCAGCCTGAGCCAGGAGGAACAGCGAGACCCAGCCTCTTTGCTAAGGCTCCACTGTAGATACATGTAATTACATTTGCAATTAAGTTTGAGTCTAGCTACAGGAAAACAGAGGCACTTTCCACAGATCAGAGTGATGTTATTGCCACACTTCACAGGTTCTCATAACGTACACAACACGGTGCTCTGAAACTCACTTTTCACTGACCCACTTTCCACTGAGAAGAAAGTTCATCTTTATTTATCTGGACTTTCTGCTATTCCTT